AAACTGGGTGTGAAGAAAGGTGATTGTGAGAGAGGAGAGGTGCAAGACAGGAAGTATACGGTGGGAAGAGCTTCAGTGCTGATAGTAGTTAATCTGCTAAAAAAAAAAAAAAAACTAATACTAAACTCACTAGCATCTTCTTAACTCCAAAGCACATCATTATTTGATTTAGGCTTGCTGTGTGGTATCAGGACATAGTTAGTTTTATAGATATGTATTAGGATGTAAGGGGGACCCTGTTAATAGCTAGATGAACCCATCAACAGCCAAGGCAGCGTAATGCCTAGTGTTCACAGGAAAATGAACTGAATAAAAATATGTTCATTTCAAAGTAGGACACAGACTTGACATATTGATGGTTTTACTGGGTGACACATTACATAAAGAAGGTAGGTGATGGGTAAATAAAAGGTGAGAGTAGAACCAGATACACGTTCCTATTGGAAATTGTGATAGAATTTATCTTGATTCCAAGGCTCAAGCTTATAGCTGTCATATAATGATATCCTATATTAAAATTGGCTAACATGGACTCAGGAAAGGAAATGCTTGATGCTTAACACGACACTTAAGACCATATATGTCTAGTTCCGGGAGCAGAGAGCCCCCCACCTGAGATGTCTCTTCTCTAATCTTTTTGTTCTTTCTTACCTTGGAACTTATTTGTTATGTGTACATGACGTTCATCCCTATGTCTTATCTGTACTCTATTCCTATTACTGTTCTATGAGTATTTGCACGTAAGCATTTACTTTTTAATGTATAAAAACCCAGCTGATGAATAAAACTGCAGAGGCTTATTTTGAATACCAACAGGTGTCTGGTGTCTAATTCTCGCTTCTCCAAGTGCATTTGTAATAATAATTTGGGCTTCCTCTAAATCCTCTATAACAAAGATCAACATTTGGATCCACAACAAAGTTAAGTTTGGTTAGGGGTTGTCAAAGTAAAGCATTGACATGGTGTTACTGGAGATAGGACTCCTCGAACCTGTTCCCTTATTTTTATTTTTTTGTCTAACATCCCCCTGTAGTCAAATGGAGTCACTACCATATAATTGTTTCCCTTGTGTCCGACAATCTGTTCTCTTCTGTTCGGTTAGCGAACAGACTATGTGTTTGCACTTCATAATCACCAACCACCCCTGGCTGTTAACCACAAATGAGCAATCATCTCAAGTGCTTTCCCTGGGTGGATGCCATTCGCATATACGAACACACCTGCTATCAGGACTGTGTGCTCAGATCGGTGCTATTTGGGAATATGATTTTTGTGGGGTTCCTGTACTGTTTTCATGTATTTTGGTGATATGTTAAAATGATATGTAAGTTTTTGTATTTGAAAGATAATTGAGTTATCTTAATTGGAGCTCAGTTATCTCTCAAACACAAAGGCTTGTGGGAAGGAAACCCTTGTGCCACACCTACAATGGAACAAATATGATAATATGCTTCTAAAATCTTACTTTAGAGGGATCTGGTTATATATGCAGTGGAGAACCCCCGGCTTTATTAAAATGTTCCCAAACAATCTGACAGAATTCATGAGCGGTATGCACCAATTAGTAAAGCTATAACCAATGACACACGTACACACACAAGCTCACGCACTAGCAGGCGCACACACACATGCTCACTCACTAGCAGGCACACACACACAAGCTCACTCACTAGAAGGCACACACACAAAAGCTCACTCACTAGCAGGCACACAAACACACAAGCTCACTCACTAGCAAGAAAGATCACTCACTAGCAGGCACACACACACACAGCTTAATGTAGTGGTTCTGGGGTCTATAGCCTGTCCCTGCAGGTTTTCAATGGAAACACTGACTTTTCAGAGACTGGGGCCGGAACATCATATTCCGGCCCCGGCCTCATTAAGTAGCGCGCAACATTGGGGGAACAGAGCAGAGACAGCGAGGTCTCCCCCCGGCCGCCAGCACACCAGCTGTCTGTCCTGCCCCAGGTGCAGCGGCCCATCAGGAAATTTCCCGGTATCCCAGTGGGCCAGTCCAGCACTGACCCAATACAACTGGTTGCGTCCATTATATTGGGAAAACTACACAGCAATAGCACTATCACCATATTCAGTACATTTGGAACTAGGACTAGTGGAAGGAATAACGACAATAGACTAGAGAACCCCTGACATATGATTTTACAGGTATATTTAACCCAGATTTAGCATCTAGTACCACAGAGGCCAGCAACCTAAGGCACGTGCCATGCATGGCACTCAAGGCTGCCAGAGACAAACAGGCTCTGGCTTATCGGGAGTCCCACTGGGACTTCAGATATCTGCTAGTGCAAACCAAGAGGTGATTGCAGGTGGTGAGGGCCTATCCCCAGTTTACAAATTGCAGCACTTAGAGGAAGTTAGCTTATTTCCTCCCCAACTTGTGAACATGAAACCGCACTGGAGTAGAGCAGCCTGCAGCAACTGTCACAGTTCCTGCCTTTGACCTGAACCTAGCCAGCCCGTTCCCCACTGGACACCAGGGAAGCCACCCACACTGCTTGACATACACAGAGCTGCAGAATAAGCCTCCCCTTCATACAAATAATACAAACAAACTACACACAAAAACACACAGTCCCCACAACCACAACACCACTGACAATCCACACATACACACACAACCCCACAAGAGATCTCTCAGGTGCAATACACCAAGCAGCATCCTACAGTGGAACACATTTTAGTTTACAAGGTAGCATGAGGTTGCAAACAAGTCTAACTTCCACAGCACTGCTAAACATGCTACAACATACTATGGTAAAATCATCTAAATTATCAAGGGTTATATGTGGAGCTTCACAAAATAAATTCAGATACCAAAGTCTGAATTTGAGCATGTGTGTTTGATTGCATTCTCTGTCCTTTCATGAGACAAATTATAGAAACACACTAATCAGGGAATATCAATTAACGCGCGTTAAACCTCTGGTGGTTAGAAGTTCTAGGGTTTTGCAGAAGAGTGAGAAGAAAACTCTTTCAAACATAGCTAGAATCACGTCATGAAATTAAGAGAGTGTGTCATTAGATAAACGTGTATTGCGGTATTAATGAGTAGCTGAGTATCACTTACCTTGCAACCATCACCCTGTTAAAGTCCCATCCACAGAGCTGGAATACACTGAGTTTTAAATGAGGATGTGTGCATTGGGTGTCCCATTGGGGAAAGTGATTTACATAACCTTCCAACAGGCTTTGGTTTTTTTTCTTGACCCCAAAATAGCAGTCAGATGTCTCCTTGGATCAAGCAGCCATTACCCCACTAAGTAGAAATGATATCCCTGTATGTTATGTTTTTGCAAGTATTTATCCAATTGCAGTTTAAACATCTGTATAGACTCTGATAAAACCACCTCTTCGGGCAGAGAATTCCATATCCTTATTGCTCTTACTGTAAAAAAAACTTTTCTTTGCCTTAGATGAAATCTCCTTTCTTCCAGCCTAAATGTGTGACTTTGTGTCCTATGTATAGCCCTGTTTATGAATAGATTTCCAGATAATGGTTTGTACTGGCCTCAAATATATTTGTATAATGTTATCATATCACCTCTTAGGCGCCGTTTTTCCAAACTAAAGAGATTTAAAATGTTTAACCTTTCTTCATAACTAAAATGCTCCATTCCTTCTATCCCTTTTGTAGCTCGTCTCTGCACTTTTTCTAGTGCCATGATATCTTTCTTTAGAACAGGTGGCCAAAATTGCACAGCATATTCAAGGTGTGGTCTTACCAGCAATTTATAAAGAGGCAAAATTATATTTTCATCCTGAGAATTTATGCCCCTATTTATACATGACACAACTTTACTGGCCTTAGCAACTGCAGATTGACATTGCATATTGCTTCCTAATTTGTTGTCTATGACAATTCCCAAATCCTTCTCATGTGTGGTCATCCCTAATTCACTACCATTTAAGGTGTAAGTTGTTTGTGCATTCTTGACCCCGAAGTGCATAACTTTGCATTTCTCTACGTTAAATTCCATCTGCCATTTTAGTGCCCAGTCCCCCAATCTATCCAAATCCCTCTGAAGCAAAGCAATATCCTGCTCACATCTGATTACTTTACAAAGATTTGTGTCATCTGCAAACACTGGCTTTTAATTGTGGAAGAGAAAATATATAACTATCTACTAGATGGAAGACCTCTCAAATAGTGCTATAGAATCCATGCTGACCTAGTCTTCATTTTTTAAAAATATCAGTCTAATGTATTGGTTATCTCAGATCACTGATTATAGCCCTCAAAGGATCATTCCAGTGTTAGAAATAGATTAATGTTTGAAGCTTCTTTTTTAACGTTAGATTTCAAGGGCTCCATCACAATTAAAAAAAAATGAAGTTATTTATCTATAATCCAGCAACAAGGCCATTGTTTTGCTGCAACTCCACTCAGTCTTTGAGGGATAATTCCTAGATAATCGTCTGGCCAATGCAATATTTGTTAAAGAGAAGCATTGGGAGATATGTGCATGGGCGACAACAGATATGCATTACAGAAATGTTTCTCATAGACAAGTATTGAAACCATTTCTTCTCAATGAGAAGCCCTCAGTACCAACTTCAATGAATGCTTAAGGAGAATGAGGCGAACCCTCATGGCTGTCTGGTTGGCATTAAGGAGATGATACAAGATGTGTAATTAAAGTGCTGATTTTGCTTGAAATTTAGACAAAATTGATACGAAGGACACAATCACTTAACCCCTGAAGTGCTTTAGGATTTTGTTTACATCATTTGTCCAAGTCTATTAAACTTACGCAGTTAGATGATGACTTTTTAAAAAAAAAATTCTTTTTTTTCCAAACAGAAAGACACACTCAAACACTTTAATATGCTCTAGGTTTGTTATAATCCTAGGGGAAATACATCTGTGCCACCTATATATCATGTTTGTTTTTTTATCAGAAAATTAAATGTAGAAATAAGGATGAATTAAAAAAACTTTACAAGAAGGAAAAATAAATCTTTCATAGCATGTTATTTGATTATTTTATTGTGAATGTTAAACTATATATTGTGTCTACATTCTAAAAAGATGAAATCATCAGAGGTTAAAATATAATTATGTATTTGGAAGACCCTTCCTTGACAATTATTTACAGGAAAGCCAATTGAGAAAATGAGTCCTTGCTTTAATGCAATGGATTTAAAAAAAATTGGACAAGGAAAACTCATATACTTTACACAATAAGTAGTATTGTTTACATTAATAAAATCTTAGTTATCTGGTACAATCAAATGTTTGTGAACAGAGCCTTTCGAGAAATAAATTGTGTCTTCTCTCCTGAGTGGTTGTTTGTAGTTCAGCTTTGACTGTTCTCTCGCATGTTCATCAGTTGATATAGATAATCTAACATCTGGAAAAAGATCGGCATTAGTTACCTTACAGACGTACACAATGCGTATATACATGCAATAAATGTATTATTTACTGTATCCACAATTACAAAACAATGTAAAAGGAAAAGAAAAACTCTTGTAATGTACAAAGTGTGAGTTTACGCACATGTTTTAGAGCATATTTTATTGTGTAAGATCATGAAGGATTAATAGACAAAGAGATCAAATTTGCTGTGTTTTGTAAGGAAATCTTTGAGATTTCCTCTATGAACCTAGAAATCGTTTTTGTTTTTTTCCGTTAGGTCTAACCGTTATTTTATCTATTGTAATGTTGACATGGAGTACTTCAAATATTATGCATTATAGTTGTATCTGTATGTTTCATTATTATGCATATTTTTGAAATAGCCCATTTGTGATCTTAGGCATCAAATATCAAGTCAGCTAGCTAGCAAAAAATGTATTGTCCAATATGACCCCATGACATCTCATGCCTCTTAAATTTGAATGATTGTCAATTAGTTCATAGCTTTTCATAGGATGTATGTGTCCTACGTCAGAGTCTGTGAGGGGTTCCCTTGGACGCTGATGTTTAAGAAAAGTTGTTGCTTCAGGTTGTTTACCCTCCCTGAGGTTAAAGGGTAATTAAAAAATTGACCCCTTGCTCACTGTGCCTAGAGGGAGCAAGACAGCATTTTGGATATGGACTGCTATTATGGGCTAGATCAGTCTGATATTCAAATGGTTTAGGTTCTAATTGTGTTGTTGTCTGTTCTCAGTATTCTTTTGCACCCTGTTTTAGTTTGTTGCTTCACTTGGTGGAGCAGTTGGTTGGAGTTGAGGCAAATGCAACATGCTAAGGGATGTCATCTATTTCACCTTAGAAGTTATTGGACCTTCACCCCAAAACAAGCCCATCTTTTCTACCATAATAAGAAACTCAGCTGAATATATATATTTGACTAAATATGGTATTAAAAACACAATTCATATCCTTACCAATAATCACACAGTTAATAAGGAATGAATCATGTTAAATATTCATATGTTTGTCCAACCAGATAAAAACCCAGTGTGTTTGTTCGAAATGTTGAAGAAAAATATTGTTGAACAGTAAATGCGTTACGAGTTTAAAAAATATAAATGGTGTTATATCTGGTTGTGTTTATTTAGTTGAATAAGTCTTTTATATATAGATATTTCTTCTTGGGTCAAAGGCTCGCAACATTAATATATGTCTATATTAATGAAAAGTACTAATACGCAATCTGGCGTTCTTTATAAAAAATATGCATTTATTCTACTTCAACAGCAAACAATAATATACTTAACAGATGGTATTTCTTAACGATGTTACAGAGAGTGAGATCTTTAAGTAGTTGTCTTTCTTTTGTATCAGCAACCCAGGACATCAGGGAGGAAAGCAGATCTTGGAAGGAAGAGAGCGAAGAGAGCACATGGTCCTTTGTCCTCTGCCCTTTATAGCCCAAATTACGTCATAACGTATAATTTAAACTCTGGCCATATAAGGAAATTCCCCAAATACAGCATTCCAGAATCCATGGTAGAGACTAGCAAACACCATCTGTTCTTTTTAACCCATTAGACAGCCACACCTTAATATGTATTTGAATAGGAACACATAGCATATGCAATATTCTACAAATGGACAGATCTCAATCATTTCCATTGCTTCATATACTAGAATGCCCAGCTCTTGACCGGTAGTTCAACATTCTTAAGTGGCATTCCTGGCACAACTTGAAGAATAACCCATCTGGGATGGTTTTGACTCGTTTTACACAGAACAAGGTTTTCAGTTGTTTTTTTTTTTCTAAGTGGTATTGCTAGTTACTAACATTTTCTTATATACTGTTGTTATATTCATTAACGTCTTACAGAATAATGGAAGTCTGAAATCAAGAACTGCTATTAGAGTTAAAACACACTGATCTCTACATATGTGGAAGGATTAATGACTATAGAGTCTCTGGCAAGGGTGCATGAGTTAAGGGTGGGTTTTACTTAAAAGTTATTTTCTCTAACTTTGAACATGAGTTCTAATATCTGAGTGAATGTGTATGTAAGATATGTGCACGGTGCGAGAATGATGCAACAAAGCAGTATCCGATATAACATGATTGTGTAATAGAATATCCTGTAGCCATGTCAATTAAGTATACACATAGATATATATCTTTAGGTAACAGAACTGACACTTGTCCAGTAGTTGCAATGAGTAGTTCAATAAGCAGATAGAAACTATTAAATGTTATTTTGACTTGTAATTTTCACTTCATTACATTTTCATATACGACTTATTAAATGTTTTTTCCAAGCATCATAATCACTACAGACTGGTTTAGTCATTGTGATGTCAGCGGTACCCTGTCCCTATTTTCTGGTAATGAGGCAAACCATTAAGCAATGGTCTGGAATCTTATCTCAGTCTCTGATGGGCGCTGAGGGTCTAATATGGCCAGTGATGTACATTCTGCTTCTGCAGAGGTGCATTAGCCGAATGCTGATACCAGCAGCCATTGATTGGCTTAGAGTGTCAGATGACCACTCTCATCCAATGAATACAGCTTTGTGCATAGAAATTTTCCCAGAAATTACATTAGCCAATCCGTAACTCTTTTCCAGACTGACCAGCGATGATGGCCAAATGAAGCACCCGGAGGTGGAATTACACCTCCGTCAGCAAAGTAGTTAATTTTATCTTTATGTTTTTAGAAACACCACTTAATTTACCAGAAATATGCAAGTATTCATGACTACTATGTTTCACAAATCTGGACATCATACACAAGCAATGGGCAGTTCAATAATGCATACTGGCTCACACCTTGTATTGTTTGTGATTTTGGCAGATAAGTGATCCTTCTGAACGAGAAGCAGTGGTGTCCACTGAAAATATTCCAAATTAAGCAGAAGACATTATCTGAATAAGAACTGTAACACTCAAATCAAGAGAAAGGAAATATTTGGGTGAGAGGCTATTGCCCCTCAATGACTCATTCTACTGATATCTTTGTTTAAGAAGGTTAAAAATGACAAAAGAAATGGTACGCTAAACAGAATTAGGAACTTAGATATATTTGATCATTGCAATAATAATATTACTATACAAACAGGACTATTCACTAAAGTATGAGGTTTTTTTTAGCTCATGAAACCTGAATTGTAAAATCAAGGCTAAAATAGTCAAACTGTGACATGAGCTCTATTGCTCAGCCCAAGTTAAATAAGTTGGAAAATATTTCACAATCAACTATTTGAGCCTCAGTTTACAACTGGGAGGGACGGACGGACGGATGGACAGACTGATAGATAATTCTATCTTCATTAGACATTCATAAATTAATTAATGTGTGATATGGAGTCGTATGCAATTAAAACTATACATAATATAAAATTAAACACATTCTCACCTCTTTATAATTGTTGTTGTCCTCTGTGTCCCAGGGTTTCTTGTTAAAAGACACTGTGTCTCTGATGGGCTGACTGTTTCTAGAATCACTTGTCTCTAACATTCTCAATATACTGATGAGTGCCTCTTTCCACTGCTGATACCCCTCCATTGGTTTGTCAGAGTAAGCCGCAGCCAGGACCTTGTCCCCTCCATCGTAGCCATATGGATATTCCTCTATGCTCTTTTTTCCCATTAGGTGTCCTTCGAATACAAAAACCAGAACAAAAGGTGGATTGTATTACTTTTATAGTGATGTGTCAAAGACTCTGTGTCATTTTCATGCAACCCATCACTCCCTCTGATCCTCTGACTGCCTGCCTGCCACTGCCTACTGTTTTCATCCTTCCTCCAGTTCCTATTTGCTGGACTTCTCTAGGGATGATCCATTCTTAAGGAATTCTCTACCACAAATTATCAAACTTCCTGTAACTTCATCTGGGATTGCTGTGTCTCTAGTGCAATGAGGATCTGTGTGTGCCTCTAGTCTGATATAATGTTAAAGATTCCATCTGTAATAAAACCAGTGATATAAAACTGGTTTGATACCTCCAGATTGGGAACAATCCCTAGTGCTAGCTACTAAGTGTTTGTACATTCTAAGCATTTTATGACACTTTCATGGGGAAGATGCAAATGTATTTTGTACAGGGAAGTTCATAGATACATTGTCATCGTCAAACAACCCTTATGGTTCCTCTGCCTCTACTCCAGCTTTGTAATGACCATATACCATCATTTTACTCTACTAATGCATGTCATGTGCTCGATAGCAACAATGTATATAGTTAATTAGAAATAGTACACCTCTGTCTTCCCCTGTGGTGTCCTGAGCATTATTTGACTGTATCACATTTATGTAAAAACACATGTACTCTCTTTAGATTGTGAGCTCATTTGACCATTCCTTACGCCATGGATCCTCAAACTCCGCCCCCCCAGATGTTGCTGAACTACAACTCCCATGATTCTCTGGCTATCTATGTAATTCAAAGAATCATGGGAGTTGTAGTTCAGCAACATGTGGGGGGCCGGAGTTTGAGGACCCATGCCTTACGACATCCAGTCCCTTACTTACATTTGTCATCATTCATTGGTATGTCTTATTTACAAATTGTACATTTCAATTTTGAAATACACTAACTGCAAAAGACACAAAGACAACGAGACAGACAGACAGACAGAGTGGGGGTGCGCAATCTTCAGAAGGTTTGGTGCTGTATACAGCAGCTACAACCAAAAGCCACCTCTACTTTTATTAGAACAAGCACATAGTCCCACCAATGTATAGCGGATATATATATCTTCAAAGAGAGATTTTTTAATATTATTTTTGCTTTTAATTTCTAAATGGAAAGATTCCGCAGGCAAAGAATGAAAATATTGTAGAGAAATTACTAGATAAATTGAAATGACCTTTTTAGCAAATGCAAGATAAACAAAAAATATTATTAAAACGTATTCTTGTGAAAAAAAATGTGTTAGGTTAAAACATTATAAGGAAAAAATAAAATGCAATATAATTTTAAATATATTTAAAGATCTGAACCCGAAATTCATGGAAAATAATTTCATTAAACTACAAATCTCTTAACAAACAGAGTTATCCCAATTTTGGCAAATGGATAAAAATAATAAGGGTGATCTGTTTAATGTACAGGGCTATATACAAAATGCTTGTTTAAATATTATAATGTACATGCGTTTTCATTTTAAATATTCTTGTATGCCATTAAAATTGCACAGTGAATAGACAAATTGTTGTCTGTCTGTCTGTCTTTACATCTCTGTCTTTATCTGTGTGTCTATCTATTTAGCTAATATTATCAATTAATGTAGCCTAATTTTAATGCTAGAGTATTAGTAACTCTTATTTTAAGGAAGTTTTATAATATAGGAAATATTATTCTAAGAGTAAGTTAACAGAAACTTATTTTTCTCCATTTGGATAAAATTCGTTCCTTGAAATAATTTTCTAACTGTACATTTGTAGAATAGAATTGATTAATAACTTATTTAAAAATGACCAATGCAATCTTTAGATGTTGCCAGTATGTTTCTAAGCTGTACCACTGGTGTACATATTAATTATATCTATACATCATATAGAGTCAGACTGAGCAAATGGTCTGTAACGAGATCTAAATAAACTAAAACGAAATAATTTGTATAACACATGTAGAAAGAGTAACATTTTATCAGAAATGCCTTATGTTTAAATATCTGGATAAACAGACTTTATAATATCACATGACTCAGAGGAGGACTGTCCCCTTCTAATTCATTTCGGGTTCAACCCAAGTATGTTGGATAGCTAGAGAATCCTAGTAATTAGCATCTTAATTAAGATGACGTAAATGTAAGAGGAAAAAAGCCAATTACAAAGTATCATCTATACGAGATTTGCACGTTGTGTACAGGATTTAACTCCAACAGATAAACACATTGTACACGCAGTATAACTTCATTAGCAGATACACACGTTATAGGTACAATATAACATTATTAGCAGGTAGTCACGCTGTATATACAATAGAACATTATCAGATAGACACGTTGTATATACAATATAACACAATTAACAGATACACACGTTATAGGTACAATATAACATTATTAGCAGGTGGTCACGCTGTATATACAATATAACAGTATCAGATAGACACGTTTTATGTACAATATAACATTATTAGCAGGTAGTCACGCTGTATGTACAATATAACATTATCAGATAGACACGTTGTATGTACAATATAACATTATTAGCAGGTAGTCACGCTGTATATACAATATAATACTATTAACAGATAGACACTTTGTATATGCAATATAACATTATTAGCAGATAGAGGCATTAGGTATACAATATAACATTATCAGACAGACACTTTGTATATACATAATATATCATCATTATCAGATAGACACTTTGTATATACATAATATAACATCATTATCAGACAGACACTTTGTATATACATAATATATCATCATTATCAGATAGACACTTTGTATATACATAATATAACATCATTATCAGATAGACACTTTGTAAATACATAATATAACATCATTATCAGACAGACACTTTGTATATACATAATATAGCATCATTATCAGATAACACTTTATAAATACATAATATAACATCATTATCAGATAGACACTTTGTAAATACATAATATAACATCATTATCAGACAGACACTTTGTATATACATAATATAACATCATTATCAGATAACACTTTGTAAATACATAATATAACATCATTATCAGACAGACACTTTGTATATACATAATATAACATTATCAGATAACACTTTGTAAAGACATAATATAACATCATTATCAGAAAGACAGGCTGAATACAGACAGATACAATGTATACTATGTATGGGCACACACAGCAGAGCAGCAATCTTATTATTGATATGTCAATGTTTATTATTAGTTAATTGGGGGCTCAGGGGGGAACCCAGGATAAGCAGGGAATGGGACTCTTTATGTTAACCTAGTGGCAAGCAAACGGTTAACTTTTATGTATAGGTGGTTCTCACGATTAGTATATTTATTACTCAGTGTTACTGCTAGTAATTGTGTCAATACAGCGCTAATCTATTGCTCAGCCCAACATTCTAGAACTGTTACAGTCACATTTCTTTAACCATTAAGTACTAAAAAAAAAAAAAAATTTAAATGAACTTATAACCCTTCTCTGACAAAATGATTGCCGCTCAGTTCAACCCTCACTCATACTGACTTGGAACAGGACACCATGGCTGCTATTTAAGAAGTAATGAGCAATCAGACAGGAGCTCAATCTGTCTTTATGTTTCACTTACCATAGAAGACTATTATTTAAGCATGAGGTGCCGACATATACCGCAACGCTGCTCAATAGGTGGACTATCAGCCAGCAGTCGTAACAAGACAGGGTGGATGTCTAGGAGCAGAAAGTACTGCGAGCCCTGTTAAAAGGAGCTTACAATCTAAGGATACAGGACAAGCGAAGCTTATAATAAGACAAAGGAACTCACCCACAGCCCAGTGGCTGCCCCGGGGGGATATTTTGGAGAGAGAAGAGGGGTCGATATTTTGCTGTGGTGCAGGGACTGCCTGGGCTAAATGGACCCTGAAGAGAGCCAGCGTGCAGAGGACGAGGGAGAAGAGAGTGCGATATTTCCAAAAAACTAGAACTCCTTCCATCATCTGACAGTTACAGGAGCCGTCTGGGGTGCTGAACTGGGATCAGGAGTTGGCTGTGGAACTTGGGTTGGATCAGGAGCCGAGTTAGGAGCTGGGGTGGGATCAGGAACAGTCTGTGTAGCTTGGATTGGATCAGGAACAGTCTGTGCAGCTTGGTTTGGATCAGGAACAGTCTGTGCAGCTGAGATGGGATCAGGAGCTGGCTGTGGTGCTGAAACTTGAGTCTGACACTGGCTGGCGTATTCTTGTTGTTTCCCTTCGTTCCTTTATCTTAGTTGTATTGTCTTTCCCCGAGCTGCATTTATAAGTGATAGAGGTAGGTCTGGTTTCAGAATTTATGATGCTGTCTCCTCCCTTTTCCAGTACCTTGCTGACCTCAAACAGCACCCAGTCCTGCAGATATCTCCAGTATCCAGTGTGAGTCATATATGCCAATAACCCCTCACAATCCATGTCACTCAAATCTTATTACTATTTGTTTCCAATAATAAATATTGTTCTGCTTCCTCCTCTCTCTGCAACTGATAGTGTGTTCAGATAGTAATCACACCTTTTAATGCTCACACCTTTCACCAAATGTTCATCAGGTCCCATTGCTGGTGTTTGCTTGGGCTGTGCATTATCCTGACTAGTAACTACATTTATCAGCTGCTAGAACACTGCTGGAAATCAGTCTTTAGAAGATAAAATGTTAGGTAAATGGCATGTTAGAATTAAATTAGCCTTGTCACATGAGACATATGTTCGCTCTCTCTCACTCTCTCTCATATTTAGTTGTAGTTACATTATTGTTGTCCAAAATGTTTAAATCGGACAGGTAGAGTTAGATTGGGTTGCTTATGATCTGCATAGTAAGGATGGGATCTTTATAGTTAATTTAGGATCTATATAGTTAAGGTAGGATCTATACAGTTTGGGTAGGATATTTTTAATTGTGATAGGGCGTAATTATATAGTTAGTTTAGGATGTCTACATAATTCAGTTAGGGCCTAATTAGTTATCTGTTTATTTAGATTAGGATCTATATTTGTTGGTTAGGAACTATAGAGCTAACAGGACAGAGAAGAGGAAAGGGTTGGCCAGTCCTGACTTTGTGAAACCTAGAAGATTTGCCCGTTTGAGTGAAGATGTTGGGAGCATCAGCTCAGGAGTAGCTGTACTAGAGGAAGCTTTTCCTTCTAACAGCTATGGGAACAGCCCTTCTTGTACGGATGGCTAGACAGGTTGTGGAGGCAGGGGACTCAATTATTAAGAGAGTAGAAAGGGTAATCTGATGCTCTGATCAGCTCAACTGGGCAGTTTGCTGTCTCCTGGGTGCTGGGGTCCTGCATGTTGCCGACAGAGTGGATGGATTATTTGGAGTGGGTGGAGATGGCCACTTTTAATGTCATGGTCCATATTAGAAGAGGGTCTGCAGTGCTGGGGGACAGGAGGGCTAGAAGGTTGGAGGAGATTTTAAATTAGTGGTGGGGGGGAGGGTCATAGCAATCTACAAAATGGAGATAGGATAGAAAGGAAATGGGCTTTATCTCAGTACAAGGGGGGTGAAGATAAGGGGAGGAGCAAGATCAGAACAGAGGAAGTATGTAATAGTAATAAAAATCCCCTAAAATACAAGTGTCTCATGATAATATTGAATGTATGCATATGAATGCAAGGAGCCTAAATAATAAAATTGGGGAACTAGAGGCAATAGCGTGCACTAAGCAATATGACATAATAGGCATAACAGAAACATGGTGGGATGAGACACATGACTGGGCAGTTAACTCAAATGGTTACACCTTATTTAGGAAAGATAGAAAAAACAGGCTGGTAGAGTATATTTGTATGTCAACCATGAGTTAAAGCTAAATGTCAAGCAAGTGGAATGTGACAAGGAAAATATAGAAGTTTTATGGGTAGATATCTGCTTGGGGCAAAAATGGGACATCAAGTACCAAAGAAGTGGAGGGGACAGCTCTTTGGGTCTTGTGCCTGTGAGCTAGTTCGTTGTGCAGGATCATTCTTTGGGCCAGTCAAGCCCAGATTTCGTAAAAAATTTGGTACTTAGGCAGGCGTAGATATTTTGTGTACAGTCCCTACACCACCAAGAACCTGGGTGATCTCCAATGATATTCCACTCTTGCCGTTCTAAGCTGGCTGGTAACAGGATTCAGGGATCTTCTCCACTGCAAAGTGGACCTTGTAAGATCTTGGTAGAAGGAGAGTGTAGAGCCTTCAAATGTTAGTGGCGTCTTGCCCCGTAGTGCGTCAGCAAGGATCGTTTGTCCTGTGAGGTGGAATAGCGGACTATGACGACTCTTGTCACTGTCACCTGGGCTCTGCCTGAGATCGGCAGTCGATAGATTCCATCCAGGGAGAACTTTTTGTCTGGCTTAGTGGAAGCACTGAAGCCACTAGCCTCCGCAGATAGTGAGGGAGCTCATCAGGCATGATTGGGACAGGTATACTCCTTATTTTCAGGTGGTTGCATCGTGATCCATCTTGAAGTCTGTGATGTCGCCCTCTGATGCTGTTACTCTGTCCATTACAGATTGTAAATCAGCTTTTATCTCTGCCACATCAGTTGCTAATAGGCCCTTAGCCTCTGTGACCAGATTGTGAAAGTCAAGTTGTGTGACCAGGGCTGATCCCTCCGGGTGTCTGTTGGTGTCTGATCAGGTAGAGGAGCGAACGGGAAAGCCTCCGTGTCTGAGTCCTCAAAGGATTCTAGGCTGTCAAGTAGTGCAGACAGTTCGAGGTCTGTGGGTGGTCTGTAGGCCCTAGACCTCCGCTTTTGTCGTTTTACTTTGGCGGCGTGTAGGAATGGCATAGAATGCCTCTTGGTGTGCACCTCGGGGTATGCCGGTGCTTATGAAGGCGGTGGAGGGGTTGAATCCCCTGAAAATAGGGTTTTATTCAGCTTTGCGATCTTAGCGTTGCAAGATGGTGTCCTCTTAGGCTCGAGGTTAGGCTCCGGCCCCCCAGGCATAAACTCTTTAGTGAAAAAACACTGAGGATAAATGGAATATCTTCAAAGAAATATTAGAAATGTACATTTCTCAATATGTACCATTGGGAATAAATATAAAGGAAACAAATTGAAACCAACGTGGCTTAGTGGGAAAGTAAATCAAGAAATTAAAATAAGAAAGGGGCATTTAAAACATTTAAATCACACAAATCAGAGGCATCCTATAAAAGATATAGGGAAGCCAATCAGGGGAGGTCTTGCAGCCTTAGGCCTGGGGGGCAAATCCAGTCAAGTGGCCCATTGCACCAAGAGGGGGCTGACTAAGGGGAATAAAAAAAAAAAAAAAAAAGTGTATTTCCCCCCTCCCTAAGTCTTACCTTAGGCCAGGGAGGGATGGGCAGCAGCCATCAGGAGCAGGAGCAGCAGTCAGTGAAGCCAGACTCTCCTGATGATGTCAGGAGGAGGGGGCGTGACTTCCTCTGCTCTTCTCCTAGACCCCCCAGCGGCCCTGGGAGAAGAGCAGTGAAAGTCACGCCCCTCCTCCTGACATCATCAGGAGAGGCCGGCCGACTCCACTGGCTGCAGGCTGCAGGGAGAGTGAGGTGAGTTGAAAAATCTGAGTACTCAGCTAGAGGTAGGGGATTCAGATTTTTCCCTTTTTTGCTGGATGCGGGCGGCCCTGGGTTTCGGGCAGCATGGGGGGCAATTGCCTCCCTTCCCCCCTTCCCAGCCCGCCCCTGAAGCCAATAATGCATTCAAAAAGGTGACTAGATTCGCTAAACTACAAAATGAGGAAGTGATAGCCAAAGAGAGCAAAACCTACCCCTAGGCATTTTTTAAGTACATAAATTCCACACAAAAAAATGAAAGTGTAACTACACTGAAAACCAGGATAGGGATATTAAGTAATGAAGACCAAGAAAAGGCAGACATTTTAAATAACAACTTCTTCTCAGTATATATTAAGGAAGAACCTATGGCTATAGATATGCAAATAATTGATGCAAAAAAACTTTCTGAAAAATTGTGACTGGATGACTCAAGACAAGGAGCTGCAGAAACTAAGGAAAGTTGATATAAACAAATCTACATGGCTTGATGGCATTTACCTACAAGTACTTAAGGAACTAAGTGTGAAAATAAGTGAACCTCTGTTTTTAATCTTTCAAGATTCTTTTCTTAAAGGAATTGTACCGGTGGATTGGAGGAAGGCAGACGTGGTTCCTATATTAAAAAAGGGTTCAAAATCGTTGCCTGGAATTTATAGACTTGTGAACTTAACTTATGTTACTGGGAAAGTAATTGAACGGTTATTAAGGGATATTATTAAGGAATTAATTAATTAATTTATGAAACATAGGTCATGAAAAAATTAACTTAATTGCATTCTTTGAAGAAGTAAGTAGAAGTATAGATCAGAGTATTGCAGTGGATGTGATCTACTTGGATTTTGCCAAGGCATTTGTTATGATTCCACTCAAAAGTTAGTGTTCAAACTCAAAGAAATTGGTCTAGTTGAAAATTCTTCAAAATAGAGTACAGAGAGTGGTCATTAATGGTAAATTGTCAAGCTGGACAAAAGTGGTAAGTGGTGTCCCTCAGGGTTCTGTTCTGGGATCGCTTCTATTTACCATATTTATAAATGATCTTGAAATTAGCATTGAAAGTCATGTTTCAGTGTTTGCAGATGACACGAAACTCTGTAAAGTTATACAAAATGAGCAGGATATTAGTTTGCTGCAGAGGGATTTAAATAGACTGGTGGACTGGGCACTCAAATGATGTGATGAAATTTAGTGTAGAAAAATGCAAAGTTATGCACTTTGGGGTAAAGAATGTCCAAACAACTTATACTGTATATGGTAGTGAATTTACAGATAACACACAAGAAGGATTTGGGTATTGTGGCTAAGGCCAGTAAGGTATTGGCAAGTATAAAAAGGGGCATTAATTCTCAGCATGATTGTATATTTTTGCTTCTTTATAAATCACTGGTAAGACGACATCTTGAATATGCTGTGCAATTTCAGGCACCTGTTCTAAAGAAGGATATTATGGCACTAGAAAAAGTGCAGAGGCGGGCTACAAAATTAACAAAAGGAATGGAACATTTTAGCTATGAAGAAAGGTTAACAAATTTAAACCTCAGAGGGGATATGATAAAATTATACAAATATATATGGGGCAAATACAAACCATTGTCTGGAAATCTATTCACAAACAGGACTATACATAGGACATGAGGTCATGCATTTAGAGTGGAAGAAAGATGATTTAATCTAAGGCAAAGGAAAGTTGTTGTTTTTTACAGTAAGAACAAGGATGTGGAAATCATGCCTGAAGAGAAGGTTTTATCTGAGTCTGTACAGATTAGACATGTGCAATTCATGTCGGTCCGAAATTAAATTCGGACGGATTTCGGCAATTCGGACATTTGGATGC